ACTGAAGACTAATTCGAGTCCAAGTTTTTTAACCCTAGGAAAGCTTAAAAGCTTGTAGGACTAAAACGACTGGTGCTTTGTACCCTCGGCTCATGACTCAGCCGTATGGCGTGATTTTATTTCTACCCACAAGATATTTATTTAACGATTGATGGATAACGTTAACGTAGCTTTGTTTACAGAAGTCAGTTAATTATAACCAATTCAAGAATTTCTTTTTTGGGAATTACTTGTTTCTTTAATATAAAACTGAATGGATACAGAACCCAACAGTCAAAGTATTTTATCAAATTTTAGTGTCTGATACTGTCATTTGACCATAATGATGGATGAAACATAGTATTTATGAACGTATTAGGTGGAGGTCCACAGTCTCTGTCTACCCCTGAATGGGTGACAGGCGAGATTTTTATGTATATATTAGTTCTATGCATTACAGATAAATTGTATCTACTCCTGTGCACGGGTTTCTAAAGAAGTTCAAAAAAAGTACCCGGACTTCATAATAAGAAAAGTGGCTACAGACCAATATTACACAAAATAAAAAAAGGGCATTATTTTAATTTAAAGAATCTTCAGCCTTAATATTAGAGTCGAGTCCCGTAAAATGGAGTCGAGTCGTTATAAAACGCCTTAAAAGACCGAGTCTCTTCATCGCTAGTTCTAATACATTATGTTTTCACTTTCTCTTAGATAACTTAGTTCTTTTGTTTGGTTTTGTAAATAGTCTAAACGGCCAGAGTCAATACTTATGTTTTCACTTTCACTTATATCACATTATTGTCAGTTTGAATAAAAACTTTTCATTCGTAGTGGAATTTTCAGTATAAAGTCTTTTATAATTTGGTTTAAAATAACGAATATAGATCTAACTTTCTTTATCACTTTTTATTTCTTCGTATTTTCTAATAATTTCTTCGTATCTTCGTAATTTTAATATATATAAAAAAAATTAATTTAAACTAACAAAACTAACTAACTAAAAACTGTACTTATAGCTTCTAAACCCGCCCAACAAATTGAATTCATGTTTTTTAATGTCGAAAAACGTTTATTGGGCATAATGTATGTGCTACATATTTTTTAGGTCCTCGTCACGCGACAAAGAGACAAGAAAAAAATCTCCTTTTTATTATTTCTTGGCTTTTCGCGGTTAGAGTTTCAGCCACTTATTTGTTTTTAAACGTAGATAATTTAATAATGAAATTATCTTCTTAATTTAAGAAATGTACTTTTACTTTATGCTACAATTGATTTTACAAGCTTACCAACATCTAAAATTCACAAAAACGTGGGTCTATAGGACGCTAGCGGTAGTAAAAGCATTACGTCCGTAGGACGCGTCAGGACCCCAATAATTATGTTACCCCGTTTTCGAGACAGCTTGGACTTTGGAAAATAATACTGCAGAAGCCTTTAATGTCATGTTTATTATATGACCATTGTGTCAGTCGTGATGTCTCGAAGGTCCGCGCGTTGCGCCACTCGAGTTGCCAAACGATGTTTCCTCTAATCAATAAACTAAACACCACCCGACATGCACTTCCTCCCATGCTTCCTTTGCATCCGTCGTTTAGTGATTACTACTATCACGTATTATTGTGTACTAGTATTGTATGTTTACGGGACACGTGACTAGCGTAGTGATTCATAAACATTACTCGGTTTCGTCATTTTGTTTTGTTAAATTTTAAGTGGAAAAATTGCTCGAATCAAAAGTAGTATTAATGTTTTAATATTTTGGATGTTTCAACACAGTAGCACTAGAGGATTCTTGCAAAAGATTTCGTTCACGGAAGTGTTGCCACCTGACCAATCTCTGTCACCAAACAGTAATATGAGAATTAAAGTGCGTTTATACAATACGAATTTCATCGTCATCAGTAATGTACGCATTACTGCATTTCGGTTTCGAAGTGTAAGGGTGCTGGCGAAATTACAGGCACATGGGCGCAGTGGCAGTGCCAATCAGATTTTTGTGATTTAAAGCTCTGGGTGGCACTGCAACTATTATGGATAAGCGTGTCGCTTACCACCAGGCGTACGACATGCTCGTCTCGTCACTAGGTATTATAAAAAAAATTAAAAAGGACACCGCCAATTAAGCTAAAAGAACATGAAAACTTATTTGATCTAACAAAAACGTCGTTAAAATTTGAAATAGGAATAAAAAAGCTTTTCTGAAACAACCTAAACATAATATATTATCATCTACCATTTCACATTACAAATAATTCTAAAATTGAACATCGCACCACGATTGCAGAATAGGGGCCAACAAATATTTACAAAACATTTACAAATATCCATAAATCGTAACGTAGTACTGTCGTTCAACACAAACTGTATACAATTCAAGATACATATTAAGAAAAAAGTGGGGTTCACTACCAACCTTTATACATTCTACGTTCATAATATTAATCTTGGTGTAATAAAGCCACATTCATACGTAGTGCTTTTATCACACGAGTCATAATTTTTTATAGAGCTCCTTGTGAAAGAGTTCGTCCTGGGAAGTACTGCCTTACCTATTTCTACCTTCAAGTAGTAATGTGAGCATTACTGCATTCCGGTTAGAAGGGTTAGGGTGCTGTTGAAATCACAGGCGCATGAGACTTGTCAACTTATGGCTCAGGGTGACTGGCGCAGTGGCAGTGCTCATAAGATCTTTGCGATTTAAAGCTCAGAATGCACTGCAACTGTAATGGATAGGCGTGTCGCTTACCACCAGGCGCACGACATGTTTGTCCCGCCACTTGGTGTAATGAATAAAATAATAATACGAACTAGGGAGTCGGAATCAGCTCGAATTGGTAAAAAAAATCCTTTATATCCAATTGTCTAAAAAAAAACGCACAACGTCTTTTTCTCTCTTATTACGTGGATGTACAACTTTTTTGACCGGCTTATTACTCGCATGGTGCCAACTTACCTTTACGCGCTATAAACTAGTACTTAAGTCTATCGGAACGCTCTCTTGTAGTAGCAGCTTCCTAATTCGCGCCAAATATTATATTTTCACCTCACTAGCTCGGAAAGGCTTTCTTTCTCATTAGAAATCTGCGCGCAAAAGCGTTTTTTGCACGCTAGCGTGGAAAAGGTTTTTGAAATTCGAACTTGACGATGGCCTGTGGTGCACTTAATTTTTTCTTTCGATGAAAAAAAAGATAATGACACCTTCAACTACGCGATTTTTCGTATATTACTTATTTATGTAATATAAATCCGTTAGTATATATTATTCTTATTATTGTAGGCATAACATTTTTTTTTGTTTTTTAATAACGCACACACTCAACATAGCCCCGCATTAGGGAAACCCTGTGTCGCGGGTGTCATGGACACACACATAGACAATCACAAATTACACCCAAACTCACGAGAGAAATAAATGTAGGTCATACAAATATTTCTCCCGGCCCGGGAATCGAACCTGGGACCTCTGCGTGGCAGTCCGGCATGGTAACCGTTCGGCTACGGAGGCAGTTAATTGACAATGATAACTAATTGTGTTTATTAAATTATTTTAATTTGTTGAAGAACTAAAATAATTTCAATATTCACGTAATTATATAAAATAAAAGTACAAGCAAGAATAAAAATCTATAAGGTGTAAATTAATCCGAAGAAAAACTTTTTCTTGTAATTATACAAACTGATGTTGTTTTCTGTTTTCTTTGAAAAATTGTGTGTTTGGCTCGGCAGCAAAGTTGTTTTGCGTCTCGTGGCTTGAAATCCTCGCTACGTTCAGTAATCTATTTTTGAACCACTCGCTTCCCTCATGGTTAACTGCCTTGGTAAACTGCCTCCGTGGCCGAACGGTTACCATGCCGGACTGCCACGCAGAGGTCCCAGGTTCGATTCCCGGGCCGGGAGAAATGTTTGTATGGCGTACATTTATTTCTCTTGTGAGTTTGGGTGTAATTTGTGGTTGTCTATGTGTGTGTCCATGGCACCCGCGACACAGGGTTTCCCTAGTGCGGGGCTATGTTGAGTGTGTGCGTTATTTATTTATTATTTATTTGTTATGGTTCAATCTGAGCTTCCGTCTCTTGCTCAGGTTTCAAAACTAGCACTCGCGTCAAACAACAACGTTGCAGCCTTGCATAATAAATAACTACTTAGAGGCAAATTCGTTCTATTTGTCCTATTTGTCATCATGTCTTTGACTTTTCAAAGACATGATGCTTCAAAAGCGTAATTATAGAGAAGATTTTTAGTTCCATTTTTTTTAAATAACTTCCTATTACTTTTTATTTCAGTTGTTCCTTTGAGATCTAATAAATATTACAGTATGTGTAATATAGTGTCTTTTATTTAAAATCTTCCTAATAAACTGGGGTTAGTGAGGACCCCATGCAAGTAGTTGTGTTATTTTGTTCGTGCGAGTAAGGGCGCGTTCCCATTATGTCGTAACGTTTTATTTATCGTTGGATGACTGTCGCGTTTAGCCTGTTCCCATATCACGATTATCAGTCGTGCCTGTGTCGTGGACGTTTATTTTATCGTCGAACGACTGGTCGTGTCTAGATGTTCCCATTACATCGTGACGACAATTTATCGGTTCATGGCAGCCGCCTTGTCGTTTGCACGACAGAATCGTTTGAAGCTGCGATTAATTGTCGTCACATTTTTGTCCTGACGATTTATTTATCGTCAGACGACTGTTGTTCTTTGTCACGACACTCTGTCGTCGTAACATCAAAAAAGTCGTGAACAACAGTTAATCGTGTTGCTCTATGTGTGAACAACTTCATTTAAATATATATACGACACGTTAAATTGCACGACCGTCTGTCGTCACGATATAGCGGGAACGCGTCTTACAAAGGGTTAATGCGATTCGGTGTTGACAAGTGTGGTAAGTCCCCTACATGAAACAAATTATGTATATATGTAATTTTATAATTGTAATTTTATGCTATATATGCATAAAAAAGTTACCGAAAAATTGGTTTGTAGAATCTTTAAACTGCGCGCCTGAAAAGTTGTCATTTTGCAGATATGGCCTTATTACACCAAGGATGCCAATTTAGACTACAGAAAAAAAATACAATTAATTATTTATATGGTTCCGAAACTTATAAGATAAATAGTAAATAACAGCTTTCATTCATAAATTCCACTTTTATAGAAATCACGTGTAAAAAACCTCGTACATACCGTTAATCAGTGGTAAAACATTACTGTACATACAATTACTAGATTTGTCCCTTCGCTATTAATAAAAACGACAAATAAATTCGAATGTAAACCGACAGTTTTGTTTTATAATTTGCGTGCGATCTAATTTGAAATATGACTTCGTCGAAACATTCTTCTTCTATCAATGTTTTGACCATCAACAAAGATTTTTAAGTAGCAGTAGAGCTCCTTGTGAAAGAGTTCGTCCAGGGAATTACTGCCACCTTACCTGTTTCTGCCGCCAAACAGTAGGTGCTGGCGCTGTGGCAGGGCCCTTCAGATTTTTGCGTTTTAAGGCTCTGAGTGACACTGCAACTGTTATGGACAGGCGTGTAGCTTACCAACAGGTGCAAGACTACTTGTTCGTCCCATCACTTGATTTTACAAAAAACTACCTATTTTATGGATTGGTAGCCACACTATATGAAATAGCAAATTGATTCACTATTTCGAAACATTAACATAATAATCAGGCTCTGAAGGCACTCTTCAATATTCCAGTCAATAATCAGAAATCTATTATGAATTTTTTCTCATTCCTCGTTCGAATAAGGTATCATTATTTGAAAATCCCAGTATAAACACGATGACTACGCACACCGCAAATTACTGTAATAATCATATGCTTACAAAACATTGCTAAATTCTTTTTTCTTGCACCAACGTGTACTATTATTGGTAGCAAAGCACGCTGCAATGACTGCAAAATATGAAGTATCCGGTTCCTTGCCTACAACTAAGTTGGAGAATAAAATTCTTTGGCAAACCGCTTGGTTACACGGTTTTATTAGAGGTGCACGAAAGAAGCCTCACCTCACGATGTATCATTCTTTTCCTGTACATTTGACGCATTGGGCAACAAACCTTACGTCGATTGGCAATCCTTTCATCACGATGGCAAGCATTATTGTGGATGCCATCGATATCGATACGGTAGGAAGAAAAGTATTGTGTTATATGTACTATCAACCTTTTTATTTATTTTCCAACTCAATATGCATGGCTGAACACTGGGAATGTTGTTATAGTTCAAAGTTACCGACTGAACAATATAAATCTAGTCGCATATTCGCAATCCCTTTTATATCTAATCTGTCCCAACAGAAGCATCGGCTCTAGGCGGTCTCAATTTCTCTAAAAGAGGTATAGCTACTCCCACAAGCTCTTCCCACGCAGCAAGTCTTCTGCAAGGTTCACAATTACACTCTTCGTCCCCGACGACGTCCCCGTCTTCGAAGCCTTGATCTGAGCACCCTGTACGATCTCCGTCTTCATCTCCTGAATGGTTGTCTCCTAGATATAGATGTAAGTTTTGATCGACGCTATATGCTTTCGCGAATTTTGGTTGGTATTCTTTGTCAGATCCATCTGAGTAATTGTTGTTGTCGATATCGAATTTTACCTGAGAACAGACGGAGGTTTCAATTCAGAAATTGGATTTAATTTCGAGTTCTTTCGAGTTTCGGCCTCTTTACAGGTTTCACGGTCACGGCTGTCTATGCAGCCGTGACCTTGAAAACTGTCAAGAGCCCGAAACGTTACGTTTGTTTGAAAAAACAAATGTACGTGATAATTCGCGTAATAAATACATTAAATAAATAAATTAGTTAATTAAAAAACGGGTATCGCGTTTGTATCGCGTTTACATCGCTGCTTAAACTCGTGCGTGTGTATAAATCTACATTTATACGATTAGCGACTGCATCGCGGCTAAAAGTCGCCATGTGTAACCCCGCTCTATTTGTTCTATTTGTGCGCACTAGAGATACGTAAAAATTATATTTCCCATTTGTAACAATTGCGGAAATCTAAGAACTTGATATTTAGAGATATAATAAAGCCACATATGATCATATGTCACAAGTATTTTATCACATGAA